GGTTTCTCCCCTGTGTGAATTCTTTCATGTATTTTACAATAATGCTGTGTACCAAAAGCTTTCCCACATTGCTTACATACATAGGGTTTCTCCCCAGTGTGAGTTCTTTCATGGATTTTACAAGAACCTCGCGTACTAAAAGCTTTTCCACATTGCTTACATACATAGGGTTTCTCTCCAGTGTGAGTTCTTTCATGTATTTTATAACGACATTGTGTACCAAAAGCTTTCCCACATTGCTTACATACATAGGGTTTCTCCCCTGTGTGAGTTCTTTCATGCGTTTTACAACAACCTTGTGTACTAAAGGCTTTTCCACATTGCTTACATACATAGGGTTTCTCTCCACTGTGAGTTCTTTCATGTCTTTTACAAGAACCTCGTGTACTAAAAGCTTTCCCACAATGCTTACATACATAGGGTTTCTCCCCAGTGTGATTTCTTTCATGTATTTTATAATGATACTGTGTACCAAAAGCTTTCCCACATTGCTTACATACATAGGGTTTCTCCCCTGTGTGAGTTCTTTCATGTATTTTACAATGACCTTGTGTACGAAAGGCTTTTCCACATTGCTTACATACATAGGGTTTCTTCTCTGTGTGAATTCTCTCATGCATTTTACAACAAGCTTGTATACTAGCTTTTCCATACTGCTTACATACATAGGGTTTCTCTCCAGTGTGACTTCTTTCATGTATTTTACAATAATGCTGTGTACTAAAAGCTTTCCCACAGTGCGTACATACACAGAGTTTCTCCCCAGTGTGAATTCTTTCATGCTTTAGACAATCAGTATGTGTGCTAAAAGCTTTTCCATATTGCTTACATACATAGGGTTTCTCCCTTGTGTGAGTTCTTTCATGTACTTGATGATCACTATGTGTGCTCAAAGCTTTCCCACACTGCTTACATACACAGAATTTCTCCGCAGTGTGAATTCTTTCATGTATTTTACAATGACCTTGTGTACTAAAAACTCTCCCACATTGCTTACATACATAGGGATTCGCTCTTTTTTGTTTTTTTTCATGGATCTGAATCTCATTGGGTGTGCTGGAGGCTTTCAAGTTTTCCTTAAACACAAAGGTCTCCTCTCTAAGGTGAGTTCTTTCACTAAGATCAGTGTAGGATTTCCCACATTGATCATATTCATAGGGTTTCTTTCCAGCCTTTGTCTTTGCATCTTTCTGAAAGGAGTGGAAATCACTGCAGGTTCTTCCATGTTCATTACACTTATACAACTTTTCTTCTGATCCCAAATACTCAGATGTCTTCAATCCAGTGTGAGCTATGATGGGCACATTTAGTGACAAATGCCCAGTCAGGCATTTTCTGCAAGCAAGGCCTTCGGCTTGTTTCATTTCCACATTAGCTTCTGGAGTCCAGAGGAATATTTCGTCATATTGATTCCAGCCTTTATTTTGATAGCATTTCTCTACCTCTTCATTTCTGTAGAGGACAAAAGTCAAGTTCTGGTTAGATTCCTCCTACCTAATTGACAATTAACTGAATGCCCTGGAGGATACCTCCGAAACAGCCATTCCCAAGAGTGGTACTCATTTAGAAATTTTTATATGAGCACATTTTGCAGTACAGAAGGCTTACTTTCATTTGGGCAATTGATATAATACATGTTTATCACATATTGATCATTTTGATACATTTTCCCCCACAGATCTCCCCCTTTTCTCCTTATCCAGTTTGTCTTCCTCATCTCCAAAAAGTCAGACTTTCCTTTATAATCACCTCTCCTTTATTTTATTCCCTAATTTATATTTTTGGTTTCTCATAAAAGAGAAAGCATGTGACCTTTCATATTGTGAGTCTGACTTATTTCACTTCACATTCAGGCCCACCCATTTGTTTTGAAAAATGACATGATTATCATTCATCTTTTGTGGCTGACTAGATGGTACACTTCTTTTTCTTTTTCTCAGTGCAGGGCATTAAACACAGGTCTTAGCACTGAATTACATCTCCAGCTTTTTATTTGTTATTCTGAGAGAGATTTTCAGTGAAGATTAAATTGCTCAGCCTGACCTTCAACTCGCCATCTTGCTGAAGCAGCTTACTA